TGGTAAACTACCCATCAATTATAATTTTGACCATGCATTCGATATACATATGACCCTCTAGAAATGTTTACTTCTTTTTGTACCTTGCCTCCTAACAAAGTGAATGAAAATCTCATCATCTATGTTTTTAGGAAGTTTGCAATTCTTCTATTGGTGCCTTTGAAGAGGTTTAATAAAAAATATCAGATGGCTTTGTAATGAATGAGATTGAATCCTTGTTACAAACACATCGAAAATAATAATGTTGAACTATTGGTGGAAGACATGTAAATAACATAGATAGGCTAAAAAAATTGTAAGCGTGGGTTATAAATAATGTGAATCAAACTCATAAAAGTGAGGTAAATGTTAATTGTATCGTGGAAGTAAAACGATTTTGCATCCATATTTTTGGTAAAAAAAAACTATTCTTAAGTGTTAGTCAATATGCAAATATGTGATATCATTTTAGGAAAAAGTAAAAAAAACCTACGAAAATGATAATTATACCTAACTTTTATGGACTAAAATGATATGATGTTGGGTAATTATTAGGGAGAATTTGACTTTGCACCCCATGTTTTGGGTGATATTGGACTTTGTACCCTATTTTCAAAATCATTAATATTTGCACCCTATTTCACTATATAATCATTTGACTTTGCACCCCACTCCTTCACAAATTTTGAGCTAATGGGGTGCAAATATTAATGATTTTGAATTTGGGGTGCAAAGTCTAATATCGCCTAAAACATGGGGTGCAAAGTCAAATTCCCCCTTATTATTACACATGTTTTTAAAGATAAGAAAAAATATGGCTTTAACCATTAATCGAACTTATTTTTACAATACTTAAAGGTTAACAAATGCGAGGAATTTGACTTTGCACCTTATTTTCAAACTTATTAATGTATGCCCAGATTAGCCCAAAAATTATAAAGGATATGGGTGTTGAGTCAAATGATTTTATGTTGAATGGGGCAAAATTCAATATTACCCAAAAATGGAATACAAAGTCCTATAATATAATATAAGGTGTGCAATATTATATCATGGTAAATTTCAGTGACACTTAAGCTTATAAAAAAAGGACTATATCTAACTTAACATTTAAGTTTGCTAGTGATGTGAATGGTCTTTCGATCAACACATCTCAGTCAAATGATGGTTAATTCAATATTGCTTAGATTTTTGTAATTTAATAATTATCGTCAAGTATATATACCCCTATCATTTAATAATTTGGTATGAGGCCAGGTGTTAATTTCTAATCTTAATTAATATATAAAAAAAGGATATGAATTGAAGTAATGGAACATTTTTGTCTAGCTAATAGGTTAATATAGAATTTTTTTAAATTAATAGTGTCATTCAAAATTTAATTTTTGAGTGATACAAAATCCAACAAAAAACATACCATCCAATATACAAAATATGTGTAAACCTATATATTAAATAACTAAAACAAAATTTGATTCTTAAGTCTTAACTTAACCAAAATTTTATTCATGGATCATTAGGTGAAATATGAGATTGCAAATTTCAAATCAATAGGTGAAAAGTGAGAATGGTAGTCAATATTTCAATTGGAAATTCATCAGAAAAAGGGAATTTTATCAATTAAGGAATTCAAAGATAGATGAATTATCAATTTAAATAGTACCCCGTAACATTAAAAAGTGTGACAACGTTGTACTTTAATAACTATGATACAACAACAATATCCAAACCTTAATTCCAAAAGATTTTGGGGTCGTCTAACATGAATCGATCCATGATATTAGAGTTAAAAAGAGAAGAAAGATAAGAAGAATAAAAATATAATGTAAGATCAAAATGGATAAGATAAAGATAAATAAAAGATGAAAATAACATAAGAACATTAGAAAGATAAAAGATAAAAAGATAAAACTGCATACGAAACATAAAAAGCGTAAGAGCATAGAAAGATAAAGAAGATAAAAGATAAAAGAAAAAGAGATCAATCGTCCACTTTACTATATGCGCCCTCCACTTTACTATATGCACCCTCCACTTTGCTTAATAATTTCAATATGTATAGTATGTTGCACTGCTATTAAAGTATATCTATAAAAATAGGGGGATTTGACTTTGCACCCCACTTTCTGGATGATATTGGACTTTGCACCCCATTTTGAATTAAATTTGATTTTGCACCCCATCACATAACATTTTGTGAAGAAACATTTGTGAATGAGGTGCAAAGTCAAAGGATTTTTAAGTGGAATGGGGTGCAAAATCAAAGTTTTTTAAATGGGGTGGAAAATCGAATATCACCCAAAAAGTGGGGTGCAAAGTCAAATTTCCCCATAAAAATAAACTTCACATAATGCCAAATCAGAGTGAGACTAGTTCACACCGGTTAAAACCAAGTTTAACCAGATCAAACCCAACAAGAGCAATTTAGATTAGACTAGACTAGCAAATCACATATTGCTCGACATGCTAAACTTTTAGGGTGTAGTTGAGACTCTTTTTGTTATCTTTAATCTCAAACTTGATCTAATGCCAGCCATTAGTATCAGTAATAAAATCAGTATTATCATTATCATGATCCTCATATTATAACTATTACCGTTATTATATTATGTAGTATTATCATTGTTGTTGTTATAGAGTAATTTATCATTGAATTTAATGGCTTTTTACAGGATATAATTATGCATGAGAAACTGCACGCTGTTTCCTTTTCTTCTCTGAATAAATTCTTAAAAAAGGCAAAGCCAAAATTTGTGCTCATATCCTCTAGAAGAGTTGATTCGTTCTTGGCTCGTTTGCTGGGTTTTACAAAAGGCAATGCTAGTCTATCCATGATATTTTCTTCTCGCAGGAGCATAGAGGTATTTGGTTGTTACTTTTAGACTTGATATATGGATGGAGTGTGTTTCTGCTGCAGGACTGTTCTGAGTGTTTGCTTTATGTTTTGTACTTTTTGACCTGAATATTTCAGTTGCTGCACGAGAAATTGAGCAATGCATCAATACTGAAGCGTTGTTATAGTGATTTTCATCTGGTTTCTATCAAGGAGATGGAGCATGAAGTGGACCCATTCATGAAGACCCATTCAACAGGTTACCACACTGCTAGACTAATCCTCATCAGGAAGAGTTTCAAGGAAATGTTCTGTTCAATGTAGCATGTGTTTGAAAAGTGCTAGGCAGTTGCCCCTGACCGGGCTTAATCGGGCCTAGAACAAGAAAAAACCTCTAGTGCAGCGTGATGCTTATATTCACATCAATCAGATGATACTTGCTGTATGTCACACTGCGCTCCTGCAATGACAATCCATTCTAAAAGGCGTTGAATTCTTTCTGAGGCCTTGGTCCTTTTCTAGAACAATTTGCAGCTTGGTTTTACATTATCAATGTTGTCACGAGATATTAGAGCCCCTTTCCATTGGGGATGTGCATTGTGTATAGAAAGATGGACACAACCATATTTAATGTAGACATTAGCATCAGAGAAGATATTTATACCTTAATCTTGTTTTTTAACGTGGCAGTGTATTTTCCAACCATCCATATCTCACCCATAAGAAATGCTCTCATTGATGCAAATACATCATCTCATTCATGTCTCATCATGTGGAATAACATCTAGGTCGATTGGTGGTTGTATTTTATGTAGAGGTCTAGTCTTTATAGATGTATTGCACAATTTTAGACTTTTGTATCCCACTTTAATTTTCAGTCAATATCTTGCATTTACGGAAGGTAAGTGAGTGTAACTTCTTGCATTCACAAGCTAAGTGAAAAACAATTGTCCAGTACTCAAAATAGATCGTCTTGTCTTGGACTTGATTGAGTACTTCAAAGTTCAAACTATTTAATCAGGATTCTTCTCCACCATTGGATTACAATGTGAGAAGTGGTATTTAAATTTATCCAATGTGTCCTGAAAGGTGCAACTAAAAGACTACGTACGTATGTTAAATTGCATTTCCAAGAAGACTGTCATGTTTGTTAACAAAATGCTTATTTATTACTCCGTCCGTATATGCTTCATTCTACATTTCTACCCGTAGGCCGTAGTGATGACTCTTAAAAAAACGTAGTATAAGGTTATGAACACCTAGATCGACTTTAAGAATAAGAACAAACATCATCTACAAATTTTGTACATATTTTAAAATGAAAACATGTTGTATGGAGTGCACTCATGAGCATGTAGCTGTAAACATAAGATTAATCATCATGATCATCATCATTATCATCATTACCCCACTGCCGCAAAGTCTCCCACCTCCCGTGGGGTAAGGGGGTCGGATGTACGTAGTCTTACCACTGTACTAAAAGTTGGTAGTGTTTGACAAAAGTACTTTTGAAAACGTAAAAGTTGATAGTGTTTGAAAAAATAAGTGTATTGTGTAATAGAAAAAGTGAAAACAGTTTAAAGTACCCTTCAACCTGCTTCCAACTTTTAGCTTTTAAGTGGTTAAGTTAAACATAAATTGTCATTTGAAAACACCAATTGAAGCCATTTTAAAGCCAAAAGGTGAAAAATCATTTTTTATTTTAAAGCTAAAGGGTCAAATAGGTACATGAACGAACTTAAAGTGTTCAATTAGCCCCTTATATAGGAGGTTCTACCCGGCCGTCGCCAATTGGGGCGGTTCCCGGTGGAATTTTTTGATGAAATTTTTTGAGCATCTTCTTCATTAAGTCTAGTTTACCCATACCAAATTTCAGCTAAAAATTCAACCAGGAAGGCAGTCAAATGATTTTTTGAAGATAACTCCGCAGTTAAACAGCGCAGTACATTTCAGAAAATCATTTGACTGCCTTCCCGATTTGATTTAAAGCTGAAATTTGATATGGGTAAACTAGACTTAATGAAGAAGATGCTCAAAAAATTTTATCAACAAATTCCACCGGGAACCACCCCAATTGGGAACAGCCGGGCAGAACCTCCTATATAAGGGGCTAATTGAACACTTTAAGTTAGTTAATGTACCTATGTGACCCTTTAGCCTTATTTTAATTTGTGCAAACACTCCCTAACTTTGATACTGTTAAGTGATTTTGAAATTCTGAAATTCACCAAAGGCGAGAAATTCTGAAACACTCCCTAGCCCGGGCTTGATTACGTTGGAATTTGGCTTCCTTTCACAGATTCAGGTGTATCACTGTCTTCTGTCCCCTTGTTTCCCTTTGTATTTCTATGGGTGATCGCTTAGTGTGTTCCTGATACTTGTTCCACAAGTTCCTTGCTTGATCATTTAATCGGTTGAGGAAACAATGAACAAATTCGGAAATTCTGAGAATGAGTTGTCGGATTTCTTTTCGATGTTGCCTGAATCTCTTACTCATCACATATTGTCATATCTTCCGTTCAAGGATATCGTCCGTACTTCAGTCTTGTCTAAGTTGTGGAGTCGCATTTGGTTCAATTACCCTAACGTCGATTTGTTTTTGCATGAGGAGAGTTACATGGATACACTACATCGTCTCTCTTTCATAGATCACATTAATTCAGTTATGGATCAATGCATTCTTCGAAAAGCTTGCATTCAGAAGTTGCAGTTAAAAGTTTCTGCTGGTAACCTGGAGGAGTTGGCTCCCATTATGGATCAGTGTTTGAGGGCTGCAATTGAGAGGAATGTCTCTGAGTTAGTGATTGAGATGAATTTTAGGCCAACAACTTACTATAATATTCCGAAGGAAGTATTTGTCTCTAATTCACTAAAGGTCTTAGAGCTTCATGGCTGTAAGTTTGAGGATAGTTTTTCCTGCACTAATCTTCCACATCTACAAAAGCTCAGAACCGTGCGGTGCCTGTTTGCTGGTGAGAACGTCTTATCCAAGATTTTATGTGGCTGTCCTGAGTTGGAGTATCTGGAAGTTTTGATTTCTGAGGGCATGAGAAGTTCTATCTCGGTTTCATGTAAACCTAGATTGAAATATTTTTATATCGGGTGTCGCCACGAGCTCAAGAGGATTGAGATCTTTGTGCCCAGTCTTGAAACGTTAAAATGTTATTTTGCGTATTCATGTTCGATTGACTTGGCTAGTTGCACTCTTCTCAAACATTTGGAAATAAACCACGCTATCCTCTCTTCTGATTACGTCCCCATTCAGTATCTTTTATCTAACCTTCTCCAAATTGAAGAATTGCATTTGTCTAACTGTAAATCAGCTGACAAAATTCAAATAGCAAGTTCATGCCTCAAGAGACTTGTCATTACCGAGTCACACAAAAACTTTCCTGGTGCTGAACTTGACATCCCAAATTTACTTAGTTTAGACTTCTTTTCTATGGGTGAATGTAATACAAATAACCGGTTCAGTTCTTGGAATGTTCCCAAGGTAGAAGAAATTCACATGGCGTTTTCTGTTAAAAGCTTTCAGAGTGCTTGCAGGGGTGGACTGAAGGGGTTCCTTATGCAGTTACAAAATTATGAAGATGTGAAATTGATTATACAGTGCAGAGGTGAACAGGTAAGTCTCATTGACTTTTTAAGTTCTTACTTCACATGCAATTTTTGACGCGATATTCTCCTTGGGTCATTTGAATAGAGAAGGTTGTTCAATTTTCTGGACAAATTTAATTTACTGTATTCTTTTCTCTTTGAGGTTCTGGTCATCTGTGTAAGACTCATCAACATACAAGAAAACTGAGACGCATATAATTATACATGCAAGGTTTACTGTAACATCTTTGAGTGGTTCAATGGTGCTAAGTGACAAGGGCGCTCATCTAACTAATGCACACGATAGAAACTAGAAAGGTATTCAAACAAAGATCAGTTGAATATGGGAGATCTATATTTGGCGCCATATTCTGACTATCCATAGTTGGAAGTGAGAAGTCTATCCTTCTTTAATAAGGATGAGAACTTGAGCCCAATACTTATTTGGTCGGCTGTCGGTGGTAATTAATCAGTTGAATATGGGAGATTTGCATTTGGCGCCATGGCAGGCTGGTTCTGTTTGATCATCTTGCCCCTACTTTCTCATCCTAATCAGCCATTCAGGCTGCTTCTCATTTTTCTCCGCCATGTCAGGCAGAGGCCATGAAAGGACCGCTTTATTCATGTCCCAAACATTAACCTAGATTAAGTTCAGTTTCTCCATGTCCAAACAAGATAACCTTTCGTTTCCTGAAGGGGTGTTTTTGGGGGATGGGCTTAGACTATGCTCTCTTGGACTTATTTCGACCTAGACACATTGCATCAGACTAGACCACCATGATATAATACATAGTATATTACTCCCTCCGTCCCAGGGAGAAGTTCCCGGGTTGACTTTCCCACATATTAAGGAAAGTCAAACTGTTTGGCACTGTTTTGCACTGTTTAGCACTGATTTGATGTTGGATAACTTTCCATTTAGGGAAATGGGAACTTTTTGTTGGGACTGCCAAAAAAGGAAAGTGGGAACTTGTCCCTGGGACGGAGGTAGTATGTTATAGTATTCTTATTATAATGATCTATTTATTTGGACTAGAATTTTCTTGTCTAGTCTGGCCTACACTAGCTGATTTCTCTAAGTGTGGTATGATATGGTCCCTTAAGTTTTTCTATTTTGGTCTAGTCTAGTTATATTTTGGCCTTGTTTGGTAAATAGTTTATCAGCCAATTTTTGGCTCCTTGACCACAATTAATGATTTGGACTGTGTAAACGCCACATTTAAATATTTAATGTTTGGTAAATGGATGTCGATTTAGCTTATTGGATCCAAAAAGACTAAATTTGAAACGCTGGAATAGGCAGCGTTTACCATTGGCATTTCTGTTTTTGCTCTCTTTATTGTGCCTGTCGTTGAGAAATTTTTCCACTGGCTTCTGCAAATTCTTCATCAAAGTTTGTATTCTTCAGCTATCTAGAATTAGGGAGGGAGGTATGTATTTATATAAATTTGTATTCATTTCTAGTTTTTTTCTATTTTAGTTCCAAAGCTGCTCACTCTGTTTGTTCCCCCGGCTTCTTCTTCTATGTTTTTTTTTCTATTTCATATGATTAATTCCACCTCCCGTTCTGTGTATGAAGTCAACTGAACCCATCTCCGGTCCGCATAATGGCAATCAACAAAATGCTTCTGAAGGCGGACATCCTTGAGGTCCGGCGGTTCCATCAACCTATGATTGATTCAATATACCTGTTGCGAAAATTAGATTTGGAGCATCGTTTTCTCTTATGTCCTTTCCACTTTGTTTCAAAAACTGGCCCTGTAGAGCTAATGTTAATTGTATATATTAAGGCTGTATTGTGATTTGCAACTGTGATTTCAATAGAGGTTATAACATTTTGATAAAAATATACACAATGATCGGAAAGGTTTCCTGGGAATCTGGGATGGACTAGTGATCTACGTTCACTATTCCTAAAACTGTTAGTGTTGAGTTCGACCCACTTCATGCATGTGATCTGATGTTATTTTTAATTTATTTTGATAAAAAGATTCTATTGACTTTCTATTTTTTAATTTGTTTTGATCATATATTCTACTGAGTGGTGACTATCTAATAATTGTAAAGCCTGATGATCACAGATGAATCTTACTCCTTATTTAATTTGGCAATGGAAAAACATTATCTCAGCATATAGATAGAGTAAGTAAAAGCCAGTCTTGGAAAGAGCATAAGTCACCCTCCATAACAACGAAAGTGTATAAAAACTCAAAACTCGTGAATGTTATAAAATAATCCTGATGGAAGCTAAACACATTCACAATTGATTATATGGGTATTTATTTTATACTTCATATTTAATTAAAATAAGTATGTTTATTATTTTATTAGACGCATTCTAGTACTTGTTCATGTTTGTTGGTATTCATGTTATTTTAGAACGTGAATCCGTGTTATTTCAATTAATAAAAAATTAAGTTATTTTATTTGTCATATAGATTTACTCATCAAGTTTTAAATCTTCTAAAATACGAATGATTTGTACTCTATAATTTAATGTAGGTAACATTGTTTTATAAGTAATATCTAAAAAAAATAACATTCCTATACGTATTTTTACACTCAAACAGCCAATTTACCAAACAATTATTGACAATAAGCTAACATAATCAGCCAACTAAAACAGTTAACACAACCAGTTAACAAATAGCTAATTATTGTTAATAAGCTATTGTCAAACCACTATCATAACTAGCTAACAACTAACAGCTAGATTGCCAAATAAGGCCTTGATATTTTGTTTTGTTACTATGAAATGCAAGTCTTGTATAGTCTAGTTTGGTTTCGCAAATCTGTTTTGACCTAAGCCAGACTGGTATGATATGTTTTTATGTAATTTTATATTTTTATTATGGTGAAAGGCGATTCATTAATAAATATGTAATTTGTTACTTATATAGTTATTAAAATACAAAAAAAAAACATTTTTTAAATTAGTTTTTATAAGATTATTTCCATTTCAATTATCTTTTTTGGTCTAAAAAACTACTTCGTACGATAGTATAAGATTTTCAATATCGTTTGCATATACCTTCATTTTATGACCTATTTAAATAATACTCCTTAACATTAAAAAGTGTGAAGATGTGGTATTTAAATAACTACGATATGTATAATCTTGCAGTGCTATTAAAAATATATCTATAAAAATAAACTTCACATAATGCCAAATTAGAGTAGTTCACACCCGTCAAAACCAAGCTTAACCAGATCAAACCAGACAAGAGCAATTTAGATTGGACTAGACCAGAAAATTATATATTGCTCGATGAGCTAAACTTTTAGGCTGCAGTTGACTCTTTTTGTTATCCTTAGTCTCAAACTTGCTCTAATGAGAGTCATTAGTATCAGTAATAGTATTAATATTATCATTATCATGATTATGATCATGATTCTCGTATTATTACTATTACCTTTATTTTTTTATTATTATTGTCGTCGTTGTCGTTATTATAGTGCATCTAAAATTTATCATTGAATTTAAATACTATTTACAGGATCTAATTATGCATGAGAAACTGCACGCAGTTTCCTTTTCTTCTCTGAATAAATTCTTAAAAAAGGCAAAGCCAGAATTTTTGCTCATATCATCCAGAAGAGATGATTCGTTCTTGGCACGTATTTTGGTTTCTAGAGAAGACACTATTAGTCTATCCATGATATTTTCTTCTCGCAGAAGCATAGAGGTATTTGGTAGTTACTTTTAGACCTTTCATTTGATATGTGTGTGTGTGTGTGGATGGGAATGTGTTTCTGCTGCAGGACTGTTCTGAGTGTAGCTTATGTTTTTTACTTTTTAACCTGAATTTCAGTTGCTGCACGAGAAACTGTGCAATGAATCATTTCTGAAGCGTTAGTATAGGGAATTTGAGCTGATTTTTATCGAGGACATAGAGCATGAAGTGGACTCTGATGTGAAACACTTCATGAAGACCCAATCAACAGGTTACCACACTGCTAGAATAATCTTCATCAAGAAGAGTTTGATGGAAATGATCTGTTCAATGTAGCATGTGTTTGAAAAGCGCTAGGTGGTGGCCCCTGGCCGGGCATAATCAGGCCTACATGGGCCTAGAACAAGAAAAAACCTCTAGTGCAGCATGCTGCATTGCTGTTTATATTGACATCAATCAGATGATACTGCTGTCTGTAACTCTGGGCTCTTGCAATGACAATCCATTCTAAAAGGCGTTTAGATTTTTTACATTCTCTCCAAGTCGTTAGTTTTTTTATGACATATGTCCTCTGAGGCCTTGGTCCTTTTCTAGAACAATTTGCATCTTGGTTTTACATTATCAATCTTGTCAGGAGATATTAGAGCCCCTCTCCATTGGGGATGTGCATTGTGTAGGCAAAGATGGTCACAACCATATTTAATAGGGAAAAGGGGCAAAAATGACCCTAAACTTTTTTTGGGGTGAAGCTTAGGAATTACCTTTTTCAACAATTTAGGCACCTCCATGGTTCCATTTATGGTGCCGTTAGTTTTAACATGGGCCTATTACAAAATTAAAAATGAGTGAATTGTCTTCATCTTAAACAAAAAGGAACCAAAATGACGTAGGCTACGTAGCATGTTTTTAAATATTTTTAGGTCTTCATCAAACTAATAAGGTCACACGTGCACTCATGTCATTAATTATTTCATTTTGTATTTGCTTCTTAAATCTTGATAGATATATTAAAGGATTTATGATTTGCAGTAGGGAGGAATCTCAATTCACATGGGAAAAATCACATTTTCAGTATCTCATATCACACATTAAAATGTAGTTCTTGTATTTTCTAGTTTGAAAATGTCACCTCTTGGGCCTTAGTTCCTGAATTGTTATAAATGTGATCATAAACATTAAGAATGTTTTTACTTGGACCGGAAGTTGTTTGGCCTGGTCTGGTCTGTTTAAGTCTGAATTGGTCTGATCTGGTTTGATAAATGTCTGGTCTCGGACTTGGTTGAGTACTTCAAACTATTTTTTAGGATTCTTTTCCACTACTCTTTAGTTGGTAATATAGAGTGCCAAAATAGGATCAAATCTTTTAAATTTTCAAAATAGGAGTTTCAATCCCTTTTCACATTTATTTTTGGGGAAATTTCTAAAATAAGAGTGAAAACATTTTGTAATTTTAAAATAGGATTGTCACATTTTTATTCCTTAAATAGGAATAATTATTATCAAGTTTGAAAAATACTACAAAGTTTAAAGCCTTATAGTGTCAATTCCTGGTATTAATTACTGTCATTTAGAAAATAAAATATGATAGTTCTATTTTGAAATTCACAAACGTCTTTATTTCTATTCAGGACATGTTTTTATGTATTGTTACTCTTTCATTTGTATTCTTCCTTCTTGTCTCGGCACATAAGCCATTTTCTTTTCTTTTCTATATTAAGCTAATTTCATTTCTCTTGCTTATTTTTTCCCTCAACTCTAGCCATTAGTGTCCATGTATGTCCACATCTTACGAGTAGATATTGATTTTTGAGAAAAGGATCAAATAAACTCTCGTACAATTTGCGATTTTGTAATCAAGTGCTTGAATCAGAAGACTATCAAATATACCCAAAATGAAGCAATCAGATCCATTTTGAATTGCAAGTCTTCAGGTTCATGGGTCCGATTGCGAAATCACAAATAGTTCGAAGACTTATTTCCCCCATTTCTCTTGATTTCCCCCCAAGTATATACAAATGCCAGAAATTCATTTCCATGCCTAAGTAACGTAGTACTACTTCAAAAAGTGTAGCTCAAATGATATGAAAAAAGAAAAGAAGCAAATTGAAACAAACATACTCGTAAATTTTAAGGGAGTAAAAAAGATAAAGAGGACTTATATTATTTGCTAATGTTATTTATAGTATATGTTCATTACATATGTAGATAAAATTAGTCCCTTTTGGGCATGCAAATATGAAGTTATCTTGAACCCTTAACTTAAAATGATGTGATCCTTCAATAATTTATTATTCTCACACAAAATTCTTAACTACTCCCTCTGTTCGGGTAAATTCTCTCGGTTTTGACCAGTATCACAAATTTATGCAAAAAGTTGGGAGGGTTGACTTTCCCATTACACCCTTGGCCGAATGGAGTAAAGAAAGGGGTAAAAGGTGAGGTAAAAAGTTTAAATTGGATAGAAATGATTAAAAGTAGAATTGATTGACATGTGAATAGTAAACACTATTCATCCCAGCCAAATTGTGCATAGCTTAAAAGGAGGGAGTTCAATTTATAGTTCATTACATATACTCCTCTCTCCTCACAATTACACCATACACTCCACACACACGAACACTTACAGCATACACTCCACCCACACACACACTAAAAAAAACTGGCAGCTTTTATACTTGGTTCATCTTCCACAGCTGCATCTTCTTCCACATTTTCTTCATCGTCCACACTTCCTTCTGCGTCTTCCACACCAGGATCCCTAGACCTAGAAATCATAGCATTAACAGATGATGAGGGTGATGTAGTGGTTAAAAAAGGCTTTCAAACACTGAAAAAGATAGCATAGCAGATGCACTCCTAATGTCCAGTTGGAGGATTTTTTTTTTTTTTTTTTGGGGGGGGGGGGGGGGGCTTGAAAGCTCAGAAAGGTATTTTCGTTATACTTGCTGAAAAGTTTGAAGTGTCCAAAACAACTATTTCTGGCATTTTGGAGACAATAAAAAAACAAGTTGTAAAAGGTGATGCAGTAGATGCGCGTAGGAAGCGGCCTAGTAAATCTGGCAGAAAAAGGATAGAATTTGATCTATCTCACATATCACAGATCCCACTGCATAAAAGGACTAACATAAGGTCATTAGCAGCTGTCACCTCAATTTCAAAGTTTAGTATCCACAGATTGGTTCACAGAGGTAAGCTCAGAAGGCATCCAAATGCAATAGTCATTTTTAAGTGATGCAAATAAATTGCAAAGAAAGTTTTGTCTTAGGCGGGTTGAGGAAGTCAATGCCACAGAATCTTACTTTTCAATCATTTTAGAATGTTATTCACATCGATGAAAAATGGTTTTTCATGACAAAAACTTCTCAAAGATTATACATGGGGTTGGAAGAGACTGATCCACACGGAGTATGCAAATCTAAGAGGTTCATAACTAAGGTAATGTCCCTAAGCGCAGTGGGTAGGCCCCTATTTTCAGAAATTGGTGAGGTGATTTGGGATGGGAAAATAGGCAGGTTTCCATTTGATGAACAAGTTGCAGCAAAAAGAAGAAGCAAAAACAGGGATGCAGATGTTATGGAAACCAATCCTATCCTTAGCATAACAAAGAAAGTGTTCAAAGACATGTTAATCAACACAGTCATCCCAGCAATCAAGGAAAAATGGCCTCCATAGTTAAGAAAAGAAATCATAATACAACAAGACAGTGCAAGGTCACACATTTCACATACCGATGCAGAGTATATGGCTGCTTCCATGGCTAATGGGTTTAGTATCACCCTTACTAACCAGCCACCCAATTCTCCAGACCTTAACATACTAGACCTAGGGTTGTTTAGGGCAATACAATCATTGAAAGACCAGAATGGACCTAACACAGTTGATGAACTGTAACACGCAGTTGATGATGCATTCAAACAACTATCACCTATGACTCTCAACAAAGTATGGCTAAGCTATCAGTATGTTATGATTGAATTAATGAAAGTGCGGGGAGGGAACAACTACAATATACCACACAATGCAAATGATAGGATGCACTCAGAAGGGAGACTTCCAATTACTATCGAGGTAGATGTTAAACTTTTGGAAGCAATAGAACGGATTGTAGGGCAAGAAGCAGGGGTTACTGAAAATCAGGGGAACTTCATAATTGAAGACGACGATGATGATGATCATCTTCAGTGATGAAGTACATGTACTGCCATGTTTTGGGATATTGGGTTTAATAGTATAGGCCTTAAATTTTTTGTTTTTTTGTACATGCCTTGATTGTTAAGGATATAAGAATAGGCAGTCCTTTTGTACTACTTCAAGGACAGACAAACATTTAGAAGTAGTACAAACATGCTCAGACCTTTTGTGCTAGTGGAAGCATACTCAGACCTTTTGTACACGTAGAAGCATACTCAGACATTTTGTAGAAGTAGAAGCATACTCAGACATTTTGTAATAGTAGAAGCATACTGAACTACCAATAGTCATAATTATTTCATCATTTTGGTACAATAACATCATACTCAGACCTTATGTACAACTACTATTACAACATACACTCCACACACAAAAACTGGAAGACATTGTTTATGCTCATCATAGATTGACCAATGTACCAGATCACAGGCATATACTCATCACAGATTGATTAAAGTACCAAATCACAGACCTATGATAATCACAATATGAGTAAAGTACCAAATTACAGCCATATGGTCATCACAGTATGCATAAAGTACACCATATAACAGGGTCATGGTCATCACAGTATGCATAAACTACCATATCACAGGGTCATGGTCATCACAGTATGCATAAATTACCATATCACAGGGTTATGGTCATCACAGTATGCATAAACTACCATATCACAGGGTCATGGTCATCACAGTATGCATAAACTACCGTATCACAGGGTCATGGTCATCACAGTATGCATAAACTACCAAAATACTTTCATATGATCATCATAGCATGCATAGACTACCATATCACATGCCTAATTCTTTCATCATAGCATACCACACATAATGAACCAATACACAGACCTACTTTCATCACAGTATGCATAAAGAACTAGTACACACAAGTAGTGGCGGACCCAGAAAGTCGGAGCCACGGGTCCCTACCCTTTTATATCTCTAATCTCTAATTACGGAGTAATATAAAACTAATAAAAAATATTAAAGAAGCATAACACCTCATAGTTAACGTACACCATCAAAACATTAAAGTATTATAAAGCAAAGAAATACATATAAAAATCATTCAACAATTCTACAGATGTACCCTCCTAGTCCTAGGTTTCATTTGTTGGAAATATAGAATCATCACTAATAGTTTTGGTCTATTTAATTAAAATAGGCCAAAACGACGTAGTTTTGGTTTATTTAATTAAAATAGTTTTGGAAAACAAAAAAGGAGCCCAAAATACATTAAGGTATTATAAAGCAAAAGAATACATATAAAAATCATTCAACAATTCCAAAGATGTACCCTCCTAAGCTTCATTTGTTGGAAATATTCTATAATAGAATCATCACTAATAGTTTTGGTCTATTTAATTAAAATAGGCCAAAATGACGTAGTTTTGGTCTATTTAATTAAATCAGTTTTGGAAAATAGAAAAAAGTTTGTTGGAAA